TAAAAGAGCCAATATAGTTTAGCTGGAGAAGGTTTGTAGGTGTGGCTCCCACATATGTAACATTTGGCCATTTAATTTCTTGGTAAACTTGACCCCAAGTTGTTGGGGTCTGGCCAAAGGCACAGCAGCAGTTTGGGGGTATCTGGAAGTCTGAAGGCGCCATCAGGCTGCTGATGCTCTCACCCCACAGGTACAGGTTGACCTGTGGGCAGCACCATACACCCTCCAATCTTCCTTAGAAAGTGGATCAACCATTTCCTTTTTGGCTTTTTTTTGCCCCCAACTCTACCTGCATGTTGGGCTGGAGTGATAGCATAGCAGTAGGGCTTTTACCTTGCAAGCTGCCTGCCTGGCCAAACTGGGTTCAATTCCTCTGCCCCTCTCGGAGAGCCCGGCAAGCTACCGAGAGTATTTCACCCGCATGGCAAAGCCTGGCAAGCTCCCCGTGACATATTCGATATGCCAAACACAGTAACAACAAGTCTCAAAAAAATGGAGACATTACTGGGCCCGCTCGAGCAAATCAATGAACAACGGGAGGACAGTGACAGTGACCTGCATGTTAGAATCATCTGAAGACCTTCCAAAGTGCTCATGCCCATGTTCTATTCAGAGATGATGGTCTATTGTTTCAGTATATGACTAGATAAGCCTACTAATTTTTAAGCTTTCTTCCATCTTTGGTATTCCTAATTTTTCATTGCTTGAGAGACTCAGCAGTGACACCAGCTCACAAGAGATTTCTCCAGACCCCCTTCCAAGCCAATTTCACAGAGCATCTCAGATGGAGCGGGTGACCCCCCACCGCCCATTCCAGATGAACGCCTGGTGGCCACAAACTTCAGAAGAAAAACCCAAGTACTTGGGAGCAGGAACTGAATACGCCAGGCCACAAGGCAGCAGCGGGGACAGTTTGTCCTCTCCCATCTCCCTGTCCCCTCAAGATCCTGGCTGTCATGCCCATGAACTGCCTCCAGGCCATATTTAAGTGCGCCTCTTGATTCAGAGACTCAGAAATCGCTCTCAAAATAGATTAGCTTCCTACAGAGATGTCTCCAGACCCCAATCATTTACATTAAAGGTAAAGGTAAAGGTAAAGGCCCTCCCGTTGATCGTTGATTTACTCGAGAGGGTCCAGTAATGTCTCCATTGGAGACTTTGTTGTTACTGTGTTTGGCATATCGAATACGTCACGGGGAGCTTGCCAGGCTGTGCCATGCGGGAGAGATACTCTCGCGGTAGCTTGCCGGGCTCTCCAAGAGGGGCAGAGGAATTGAACTTGGGTCGGCCATGTTGGCCGCTTGTAAGGCGAACGCCCTACCGCTGTGCTATCGCTCATTTGCATTATTTACATTATTAGAATTCAAGTTCCTCTCATGATATTCATAATAAGCAATAGTAAATAAGCAATAGCAATAGCAAATAAATCATCTGCTATCTGCTTATGGCAGGCAGGCTAGAACAGTGGTGGGAAAATTCAAAATAATGATGGTGGGAAGGTGTAATAGTGGTGGGTTTGGTATTGAAATATTGAATGTATAAATTAATGTGAACATCCTTAAGAAACACTGTCCTCCCATTGTTCATCAATTTGCTTGAGCAGGCCTAGTAACGTCTCCATTGTGAGACATGTTGTTACTGTGTTTGGCGTATCAAATACGTCATGGGTAGCTTGCCAGGCTTTGACATATGGGTAAGAAAGTCTAGGTAGCTTGCTGGGCTCTCCAAGAGGGGCAGAGGAATCGAATTCAGGTCGGCCGGGTCAGCCACATGCAAGGCAAACACCCTACCTGCTGTGCTATCATTCCAGCCTTATGAAAATACAAACAACAACAAAAAAAAACACTGTCCTCCCGTTGTTCATCGATTTGCTCAAGCAGGCCCAGTAACATCTCCATTGTGAGACTTCTTGTTACTGTGTTTGGCATATTGAATACTCTCGTAGCTTGCAGGCTCTCCGAGAGGGGCGGAGGAATCAAACCCGCATCAGTCAGGCTGGCTTCACACAAGGCAAACGCCCTACCGCTGTGCTATCACTCCAGCCCCTTATGAAAATAAAATTTAAAAATTAAAAAAAAAGAGTATCTAGCCTGTCAAGACCTATTTATAAAAGTAATAATAATGTTGATTTGGTACAAAGTTTTGGTGTTAGCCAAAACTACAGTGTTAACTGTATTTCAATACATCGATGTAAGAAATAAACACATTGTACACCATTTAAAAATTTTTTTTCATTGCTTTAGACCAATAGAATACTCTGAGGTGCCAGAAGTAACACAGAATTTGTATTTCCACCAGAATTCTCTCCATCCTCCCAGAATAAAGGAGGAACTTCAATTCTTTGCAGCAAGATGTGAGTTGCCCTGCAACCAGCCTGCTTGAATTTCTTCTTGATTCCCTTGTTTATACCTACTTTCTGAAGATAGGAATTTGAAAGCTTCTCGAGTGAAATGAGAGTATAAAGCTATATAAGCTACAGGCCTATGGTTCCTTAAGGGCCATAATGAGTGGTCCTGATTGTCCACAAATAGCATCGTTCTTAAGTGGAAACATGGCCAAAGGAGAGATAGAGGGTGGAAGAATCAAGGCTCACCCACATTGTTAACGGGCTCTGACACACAAGCCTCAATACTCAACAACCTGGCGAACTGAGAAAAATTGTATCTATTTCATCACTACAGTAGATTTTTGTGATAATGATATAATGCACATTAAAAATTTCAAATTAAAGGATCAGAAAGTCAGAACAAAAGGTTAGGTTCTTGGCCAGCAGAAATATGGTTGATTTCCTTGTACCATGTATGGCCCCCCATGTCCAAGCTCCTCCAGGAATAATCCCTGAGTGCAGAGTTAGGAGAAAGCTCAGAGAAATGCTACATGTGGCCCCAAAACAAAATATAAAGAAAAATAAATAGCTTAGTGAATGTGCCTTATTATAAAAGGCCTAGAGGGTTAAAAATAAAGATCATTATCTCGGAGTACAAAGCCAGGATAAGCTATGAGCACAGTCAGGTGAGGCCCAACATCACCCACTGAATAATAAAGTAAAATATTTGGCTCTCAGGATTGTGGTTCAGTGACAAAACATTTGACTCGCATGTATGAGACCACGAGATTTATTGCAACATGGCCCTGTATTACTGAGTATGATCTCAGTAGCACTGTTATTTGGATTTAGAATAAATAATTATTTTAAAATAGTCCCTGATACTATTAACAGTGTGTTATCTCTCTGGTCAGCATCACAACCAAGAGTGGGAGCATGGTTACCAAGTGTATGACCCCCAGCGAGCACTGTAACTAAGTGTATGTGAGCAAGAGAACCTTGATCAATTGTCACCACACAACAACAAAGGAAAGGAAAAAAGTCAATACCCATTCATCACAAAAAAAATTTTTATAAACTCATAATAAAAGGGACTTTCTTTTTTTTGACTCTTTTTTTTGTTGTTGTTATTAGTGAAACATCATGAGGAACAGTTGTAGACTTACAAATTTTTGTGCTTGGGTTTCAGTTATACAATGATCAAATACCCATCCCTCCACCAGTGCCCATTCTCCACCACCGCCAGTCCCAGTATCCCTCCCACCCCCACCCCCCCATCCCACTCTACCACTGTGGCAGGGCATTCCCTTTTGTTCTCTCTCTCCTTTTGGGTGTTGTGGTTTGCAAAAGATGCATTGAATGGCAATCATGTTTGGACTATAGTCTACTCTCATCATGCATTTCCCGTCCTGGGAGGATCCTCCCAACACCCTTTATTTGGTGCTCCCTTCTCTATCTGAGCTGCCTAGCTGCCTTTTCCCCTAGCATGTGTAGCTGGCCTCCAAGCCATAGAGCAAACCTCATGGTACTAATCTCGACCTCACTTGGGTGTTAGTCTCCTATTTTGTTACTATATGTTCCCCAGATGAATGCAATCTTTCTATGTCTGTCCCTCTCTTTCTGACCCATTTCACTTAGCATGATACTTTCCATGTAGTAACACTTGTACGTAAATTTCATGACTTCATAAAAGGGACTTTCTTAATGTAAAAAAAATAAAAACTAAAAAACAAAAAATAAAGTTCAGGGTCAGGGTGTTAACTCAATTAGAGAACATGCCTGATTTATATAAGACCCTGAGCTCCAACCCCAGCATCACAGGGAACTCTATTCCTCCCCATACAAGCACCAACAGTGGGTCCTGGTTGCCCCAAGCATCTACACTGCCAGGCTGAGCACAGTTGGTCAGGGTCACTGCTGAGCATAGAATCACTCAGAGTAACTCCTGCTTCCCATCCTAGCACTGCTTTGGTAACCCCATGAAAAAATAACAATAAAATCTAAAGCTTTAAAGATGAAATGTAGAGCAAATTCTAGCAGTCACTGGAGAGCCACGAAGATGAAAGGACTTTGGGAATTGAACCTTTGTCAACTTCCACTCTTCGCCCTTCCTTCACCCTTCTTCCTCTCACCGGCCCTTAAGCTAGTTCTGGAAATGCAATTCTCACACGTCCTTGCCCCAATTCACTTTTAACCAAATGGTTACCCTCTGAGCCCGACCCGCACAGAAATCCTAGTGCTAATAAAGAGGAAGGTTGTTTGATTGCATATTTCCCCCTAGGTTTTAGAAGCACTCTACTTACTTCCTCAAGAGTACACCTCTGGGTACCGCAAAGCTATATCATTCCCTGCCTGAATTATAATATCTATCAAAAAAGGCATCTCTGGGGAGACTTGAGTGCTAAGTGGGGAGTGATTTTTAGAGAGATGTGTGGGAAATGGTTTCAATATTTGGCAGTTCATGGAGCAAGATTGAGACATTGGTTTTTCAAAAAATATCCTTGATCAGCTCATTATACTATTTACTTATCTCTGAAAATGCCTCGTCATTGCAATATAACACTTGGCAGCTGTGTAACTTACATAAACCAGGAGATTCAAATTTTGGTGTATTCCATCCACATATTTCATATAAGTGTGCCTATTCACTGGGAAATCAATCTTTCTTTTACAGATAGCACTACTAAAATATACCATTCTGAAACTAAAGACATAAACAATGCCCTAAGAAGTGAAACAACTGAAAATCCTGCAAAACTAAGCAAAATTTCCAGCACAAAACGAGTATTCCATTTGACAAACCATTGAATAAAAAGATCTGATTTTTTTTTCCCAGCAGGGTTTAAAGTCTGTCCTCAGCAATCCATGAAACAAATTTTGTCAGTATTCAGCCTTATAAGAGATTGAGAGGTAAGGGAAGAGTAGAAATCTGTACAGTCTCATTTTTTTCACTCTATGCCCTCCATTCATTCACAAGCTATTTTCATCACAAAAATCCTAGAATCTCTTATTCCGTCCCAAGAACTGCAAAAATCTAGCCAACTAATCTAACATAACAATGAATAAACAATCCACCTTATGGTAAAGAGATATATCGTCTTAGGTTTAAAATATTGTCCCGAGGAGCTTAGGTCCATTAAAGCATATAATTTGTCATGCTGAAATTGTGGGCATCTGATTTCACCTGCTTTACTTTTGCTGAAGTCCAATAGTGAATTTTAATGTTATATGAAGAGGCACAGAATAACTGCATCATCAGGAATTTGTGCAAACTATTTATAATGTGTTTCTTTTTTTATCAAATCAACATACAAGCTAGACCCTCTCTCCCTTCTTGATAAGGTTAAGTTGTTTATTACTGGCTCAGCAAAATCTTCTGAAGCGTAGAAACCTAGAGTTACATCTGAGTGCAGAGAAATTGTAGATTAACTGAGGTTAACAAGATATACAGAACTCCTCCTGGGATTTGCGACACACTTACTGTGATTTCCAGCAGAGTAACAGGGTAGTTTCAACTGCAAGACAACATCACAGGATTTTCACATTCCTGGAAACCACTGGGAACTTCAGTCACACCACAGCCATCAGTGACTGTCCTTGTCATTCACTTGCCAGGAGTGAAAAAGTTCCCATGGTTTCCTCTTTAAACAAAGTACGGCAATGACAAAACCACATTAAACTTCCCCAGGTAGCTTCAAATAGTGTGATAAATTTTGTCTAGCTGAAACCTAACCTCAATTACCTATAAAAGTTGAAGAGTTGAGAGTTAATTTTGAACTGGGTCACATTATATGTTTGCTTCTATAGCAAAGAGAATGGTCACTCTGCTGGATTCCAACCCCTAGTTAACTAGATTTTGAATCTAACTCGTGAGATCTCTCACATTATTACAAGCCATTTCCTGATACTAACATACTGTAGACAACATAGTTATTTATATACATATGATGAGCAAATGTTGACTTTCTCCGGGAAGTTTTTTCTGGGTTTTTGAGGCATAATTCACAATATCAAAGTCTGACTTTATGTGTAAGTAAAGAGATATTTGCTTTCTTTGAGAATTCATATCCACAAAGAGATGCCAAGTACTGAGTCTAGGAGACAGTCTCTAGTTAGAGAAAATCAAGCCCATATCTTGAAATATCTTTTAATATCCCAAGCTCCTAGCATAGTACTTCTGTATATAAGTTTCTCAGTACATGCTTGTTGATAAATACAAAAGTTAAGAAGCAGGGCTGGAGTGATAGCACAGCGGGTAGGGCGTTTGCCTTGCACGCGACTGACCCGGGTTCGATTCCCAGCATCCCATATGGTCCCCTAAGCACCGCCAGGGGTAATTCCTGAGTGCATGCCAGGAGTAATCCCTGTGCACCGCCGGTGCGACCCAAAAAGCCAAACAAAAAAAGTTAAGAAGCCATTGCAAATCCCAAGAAAAAATAGTGATATGTGCAAACTTTTCACTGCCGATGTGTCTACACACTGGTCAGATAATTACATTGGTCAAATCTTCAATGTTTTTACACTGAAGACCTTAGAATATAGGCATCACAATGAATACGACTACGGCCAGCTTTTTCTTGTTACTTCTTAGTCTTTACTACATTCACATACAGAATTTGTGGCAGGTATTTCTAGACTATTGTTGAAAACACAGTTTGGCTCTGAATTTTATTCTTAGCATTTTGCTCTTGATTAGGTTTGCCTCTTATTCCTCCATGGGTAGATGAAACAAACCACTGTTTTTCCTTCCCACAGGCAATGACAGTCCATTATCTTTATAGATGCCCCTGGGTGAAATAAAATTTTACTATTCATCAGCTTGAGTTTCTTAAGTCTAACAAATTGGTTCACAGAGAAACAAGAAATGGGACTCAGCTACAAAGTGGTGTTCTTTTGACAGAGTAACCCGCTTATTGTTCTCATAGCTGCTTTTACAAAATTATGTGTTGACATCTTTCAACCTTCAGGGAGAAAACTCCCACATTCCCCAAATCGAATGGAGTATTGAGCTATTTCATTTCCCAGAGCTTAAAGAAACGCAAGAAAAAATATCCGAAGCTCTGTGGTAGAATCAGAAACATGCTCATTTCAAAACACGGATGTAAAAGAGGCGAGTTTGTTTCTGATAGTTTCCCTGATTGAACCCTGCACTTCTAGACAAATAAAGAAAAATTAAGTTTTTTTCTAACCAGGCACCCCCCCAAGTTCATCTCTCTCATTTTCTTTCTTCCTTCGCTGTTCTCTATTCTGCTTCTTCTCTTTATTCAAACCCAAATATTCAAGAGACCGCGTGGCCGCCCACCTACCAGATGGTCAGACTTCTTTGTCAAGGTCATGAACGATCGGTTTGAGGCCCTCCATGTTCCCGGAGCGAAGAGATGCCATTGGGCTACACTAGCACGCGACAGGGACAAATGGAGACGTTACTGGCGCCCGCTTGAGCAAATCGACGACTAACGGGAAGTTAAGTGATTAAGTGATTATACAGTAATGTATGATTTTGAGATGAATGATAGAAACCTAGTTCCAGCAACTGGAAATGTTGTCCATAGACCAGCAGTTTCACCATCACTCAGGGGCCTGTTAAAAAGGCATGTATCAAAGTTTCTTTAACCAGTCATCTGTTCCCAGGCACTCAGGTTTTTTCCAGGTTCTGGCTATTGTAAAGAGTGCTGCACTCAGATAGAGAAGGGAGCACCAAATAAAGGGTGTTTGGAGGATCCTCCCAGGATGGGAGATGCCTGTTGAAAGTAGACTATGGACCGACCGAACATGATTGCCACTCAATGCCTCTTTTGCAGACCACAACACTCAAAAGGAGAGGGAACACAAAAGGGAATGCCCTGCCACAGAGGCAGGGTGGGATGGGGTGGATGGGGGGTGGGAGGGATACTGGGACCCGTGGTGGTGGAAAATGGGCACTGGGGGAGGGATGGGTATTTGATCATTGTATAATCGAAACGCAAGCACAAAAATTTGTAAATCTACAACTGTGCCTCATGGTGTTTCACTAATAAAAAAAAAAGTGCTACAATGAACAAACAAGTGCAGATGTCACTTCGACTATACTTTTTTGCCTCGCTGGGATATATTCCCAGGAGTGGTATTGCTGAGTCAAATGGGAGCTCAATTTCTAATTTTTTGAGAATCGTCCATACTGTTTTCCAGAATGGCTGAACCAGTCAGCATTCCCACCAGCAGTGAAGGGGGACACTGGTGAAGGAATGGGTGTTTGATCATTGTATGATTGAAACCCAAGCACAAAAAAATTATAAATCTACAACAGTACCTCATGGTGTTTCACTAATAAAAATTTTTTTTAAAAAGGCAAGTATTCAGATCTCGTATAGCACTTGCTCTTGTAATCTGCATTTAAGTAAAATCGCAAAGTAATTCCCATGTCAGGTAAAGTTCTAGGAGCTCTGGCATAGGAAACATCGGAAGTGATCAAAGAAAAAAAAAAGTGAAGTGACATTCTTAGTCAGGACTGCTTTGGTAAAGAACAGAGTTAAGACCCCCCATCTGATTCCCAGCCCCGGTTCTCTGAGTGCATTTCACATACCATTGTTCTAACTTAATCCATTCAACATGAATAATTATTCTGGAGGCTGGGTGAGCAGGAGTTGCCTGAGAGTTTTTCCAGAGTAGTAAAACACCTCAGGATACAACCTTCAACAAAAACACTGAGGTTCTGTGGTTAGTTTTGAGGGACTGGTCAGCAACCTTGGGATGATTGGGAGACAAAACTCAGATTCCTCTAGACACCGTGTTTCATCACTCCCAGCAGACGTAGTGCAGGATGGTATAGAACAAAAGACTGAAAGCATCAGGGAGATCCAGCTTTAAGAAGTTTTCACACTCCACTCAATCTTTCACCCTTCATCTTGCAAAGGTTGTTTTGCTGCAGCCTGGATAGGGATAGACAGACCTTTCCAGTGGATCATGGGCTGGTGCTCCTGTGGTGTAATGATAAAAAGATTTCAGGTCTTTTAGTTTGTGGGAAACTCCCTGGAAGCCATCGGTAGGAATGATATTAGAGCATCTGTGAAGCAAAACACAATAAACTATCTGTCCACAAGTTTAAAGAGAATAGACTGGCCCATGTTCCTTCCTCATCACGTAGAGGCTTATAAACTACAATACATCAGAGAGAAAACACTTTCAGTAGCATCTGCCATATGTACCCCAAGGAGAAAGTTCTCCTAGAACCTTTGTGAAAAATAAGATTTAATGGGAACAAAAACCTTCTGTGTCCCTGAAGGGGGAGAAAGAGCAGAGAGGAAAGGGCACTGGAAAAAGTCTTAGATTGGGCTGAAATAAAAGGAAGACAATCAGAGCTCAAATGCTTTTCATGAGTGTGTGTCCCGCCAGCAAACAAACCATGACATCAAGAACTCCTGAGGTGCCACCCTCGGCATCCAAGAGAGGGATCAACACTGAGTCCAAGGCATCTGATTTTATTTAATGTTGTCTTTCCAGCACATCAATGAATTTTGAACTAAACTAACAGGTACAATGGAGGGGAATGAAAAATCAAAATAACATCTCCAAAGACAATGTGTAGGAAAGCAAAAAGGAGAGCAAGGACAGCTTGTTTACTCGGACTGGAACCACAGCTCCAAGGGCTTGGACAAATCTAAAAACACCCAAGTCCTAGTTCTTACTTTGGATGGCCATAGATTCTTAACTAAAGATAAAAATAAAAATACCGTATGATGATTGACGAAGGGGACATTAACCTCTGACCCTGGCCCAGCAGGTGAGAAGTGATGGACACAAACACAGGTGTCCTTAGCTCTCCAGGATGCTGGAAGGGTATTGACCTTGTTATTTTCCCACATGTGGAGACTCAATGGTACAGTTGAGACGGTAGGGGAAGTGTGTTTGAGTGTTTCAAGAACTCAAAGTTCTTGACTCCGACGGTTTTGCCAAGCTACTGATAAATGACAGAAGATTCTGCTTCTCTGGAATTTTCTTTGCCTTATATTTTAAAGGTTATAATTTAAAAATATTAAACCATGCTAGTTTCTCTTAAAAGAGAAAGCAGATAAATGCAGGCTTGGGCAAAGTGGGAAATAAGGGAGGAAAAGCATAGGAGTAAGAGCCTTTTAATGGGTCTTTCTCCTTGTTCCTCCCACAACTCTCTTTTCTTAGCAAGACAGTAGAAGAGTTTCTTCCAAAAGTCAGATGATGTCAGCTGCAATTCCACAGCCTCTTCCTCATGCTTCTCCAGGTAAAAATTAGCAAGCTATCATTGTTAATGACTTAAGTCATGGGGCACTGTGTTCTTACTTCATCTCATAAGGTTTTTAGCTTGTGTTCTTTTCAGTTACTGTCTCAAGTTTTTCATCGTGACTTTAAATAATTGGATCAGATGTCATTTTTGTTGAGTTGTAAATAGTGATGATAAAAATAAAGCATGAACGAGAGCACTCTTTTGTATGTGATTAAATCGACCACAGCCTCCCAGTCTTATCATCAAATATTCTTAACAACCACATGAACAAATTATTTTCAACAGTAGAAAACTGTCACGTGGCTACTTTTTCTGCACACATCCACATTTCCATTGCACTTCCCACTCAGAATCTTATCTTAACATCATTTATATCTACTTGAAAATCTATTGGTTGTTTTAAAAACTTCTCTGTAACAAAAATATGTATATAAATCAAAATTAATTTTGAAGCATATTTTCTATTATCATCCGTTACCAACTGGATTCCGTGGGACGTCAAAGGATCGTGTGGCTGCCCACCTACAAGACGGTCAGACTTCTTCGTCAAGACCCTGAATAATCGGTTTGAGGCGTTCGTGTTCCTAGAATGAGCAGACACCATTGGGCTACACTAGCATGCGACAGGGACAAATGGAGACATTACTGGTGCCCACTCGAGCAAATCGATGAGTAACAAGATGTCAAGTGTCAAGTGATCAAGTGATTTCCTATTACTGTGCCTGCTTGAGCAAATTGATGAACAATGGGAGGACAGTGCTACAGTGCCTATTACTGTAGGCTATATTTGAAAATAAAATTTACTTTAGTTCAATTATGTTTATAATTGTTTAATATATAATTAACAGGAAAAATATTAGTACCAATTTTCCCGTAGCATATACAATATGCCAAAAATAGTAACAACAATTCTCACAGTGGAGACATTACTGGTGCCCGCTCGAGCAAATCGATGAACAATGGGAGGACAGTGCTACAGTGCTACCAATCTGACAAGAGATTTTCACTGCAAATCTTCAGATCAGATTCAGGTTTGTAAGCATAAATGTTTAAAAATATGAAATTAGGAATAAGGTTTTGTAAAGAGGTGGTTTTAGTGAAGGAATGTAGGGTTCAAGACTCTGCTCTATAAACACGGGCAAATTTTAATGCTATTTCTCCATTATTTTTATATATTTAATAATAAATCATTGCTTATTGTTTGTAATATGTATTGCTAAAATGAGTCAGAACTTAGCATAAGTTCTATGCCTATTCTACTTATTTTTACTTAATGCTAAGAACATGTTATATAAATTTGTAAATGGGAACAGATGGAATTTTGTTACAGTAATATCCTTATTCTTTAAGTTCCTTAACATTATGTGCTGACACTCACATCATGATCTGTCATCATTAGTTTTAATGATCTATCAGCTGTTGACTCCATTTGGGCTCCTAATTTGTTGAAAGCAAAGAATCAAAAACGATGCTAGTTGCAAAAATATGTGTTACTCACTATCAAGCCCACTCTGTTTCTTAACTTAATTACTATATTTCCCTTAGTATGACAACTCCAGATCCTTAGGCTACAAGGAGGGATGGGTTAATAGGACAAGCTTGATGGCCAATAGGAAAATATAAAAGAAACGTGTGATTTGAGCAAAGTTCTTTTTCAAAAAAAAGAAAAAGAAAAAACTCTTTGGATGAATGTTTAGTCTTTGGAAAGCATCTAGATAGATCAAGGTCCTTGAAGACCACTGACCTCTAAGTCCCTACACAATCTACATTTTTCTCCTCATTGTTCTGTCATCAGCCTCTCTATTCCGCTCAGCCTTGTCTGGCCACACTGATCTTCAGTCTTGGCGCCATTTTCCAACCAAAAACCACTTTATTATGAGCTGTTATGTTTGCGAGGGGAGGGAGGAAGTACATTGAATAATAGTAGTAAGTTCACCTCTATAAGATTCTATCCACCATACATTTGTCCCCTTTTACATCATTTTCCCATCCTTTATTTCCCTTCCTTTGTGGTAACCGCTAATTGGTCTTATATTTTAAAGGTTATACATAACTGAGGTTTCAAGTTGAAGTCTTACACACACACACACACACACACACACACACACACACACACACACACATTTTCTATCTTCTTTCCTTAATTTTTATTCGAAGCATAGCACTCAGCAAATGTTTATAGACTCTTTAAAAAATTTTTAAAAAATGTTTCTAGGGGCTGGAGCAATATAGCACAGCAGGTAGGGCATTTGCCTTGCACGTGGCCGACCCGGGTTCAATTCCCAGAATCCCATATGGTTCCCTGAGCATCGCCAGGAATGACTCCTGAGTGGAGAGCCAGGAGTGACCCTGAGCATCGCCAGGTGTGACTCAAAAAGCAAAAATAAAATAAAATAAAATGTTTATAGACTAGTATGTCAATATAAGACATTGAAGAAATTCCATCTTTTAATATCGTGCTATGTTGGGAAAAGAAGACCTTTCTAAGATGTGACCATTTCCTACTCCTAATGGGCTACACTGCAGTGTGTCAGGAGGCAGTGTGGGAAGCCTATCAGATCTTTCTGGATCGTATCCCTAACACAGGTGAATACCGGGACTGGATCAGCATCTGCCAGCAGGGAACTTTCTACCTCTTTGACAGTGAGGAAAAACTTCAGCAACTCCCAGGAGCACCTGGAACTTCTTCAGCAGGTGAGCCTAAGAAATTTTGTATGTTTGAAAAGGCGCCCAAAGCACTCCAAAGTCTCCAACTTCCATCCCTTGAGAACTGCATGAGGGTTGGTTTAAGAAAGACTTGGAGATAACTGCTAGAGCCGACAGGAATTTCATTTTTGCAAAGTTGCTTCATACAGACAGGTAAAGTAAAGTTAAAGGGAAAGGGGACAAAAATAAACTAGTTCGTCGGTTGGCGTTATCTCCTGGTAAAATTACTTTTTATCTTTCTGCAGAGAATAAAACCAAGAATCTTGCCTGAGAGGTAAGTCCCCAAAATAGAGTGCTGCCTGCTCTTGACTTTTAAAAAGGTAATATAATGAAATGAGACTGAGCTATTGTACCTTTATGATATTATGTCAGTCACCAAGATCTGTGTAGGTTTTTCTAACAATTTATGCACATAGTGTGCTGAAGATAAATGAGTGTATAGAAGGGGAATGACTTAACCCTCTAACTGAGAAAGATGTTTGCAGATAAAACTGTTTTCCTTACTACATGATGTTATCTATTATTTATTTTTATTTGTAAGCTATAGAGAAAATATAATTGTTTGATTTTTATAATGTAAAATAAACTATTATTTTAATCAAGAAAATATGTATTCGAGAGCAACATGAATTTTGAATTCTTATTTGGTATTCTGTAGTGTTAGTATTTCTCAAGCTAAATTACTGAAGCAATGAGCTAGATCCTTAACAAGAATTGAATGTCAATTAAGAAAATCAAAATGTAAAAAGGGGGAAAATCCATTTGATAAAATGATTAGATAAATGAGATTTTTTTCTAGACCCAAAATTCACAAATTAAATATAATATTTAGAAAACATAATATTTATAAATCTAAATCTGAATATAATAATACTATAAAAATAAGGGTTTGACTGTCTGAATTATTAACAATTTTTTATAATGCTTTTCACATCTTTTCCTTCATTTCTCTTGCCTTTGCTAACAACCTGGTCCCGGATCTTATTAATTTCCACTGTGAAAAATGTCAAATCTAATCTCCATAACAGATCTTCCTGCTTCTAACCTCTTCTCCCTCCTAATTTGTATAACGGCTGCAGGATTAATAAATCTGAAAGAGTTCTTTTCTTTCACATTAAGTTCTATTCCATGGTTTTTCAAGGCATTTCCACATCTTTTCTTTTGCCCTTCAGAATGTGTGCTATGTGCTATGCATGCTTCCACAACTGTTTTGTGCACAGAGAACTGAGCTATAGGAACTGATTCTTGGCATTCCTCGCCCTTTAACTTCTAATTAGAGTAATTCAGTGGGCAGCAGGAGATCAGAAGGAGGAGTATAAGGTGAACCATGTAATACTCTCTTCACAACAGCCTATAGAGTTCAGGGCTAATCTTCTCCTTTCGCCTCTGCCGAACTCCTGTCAAGCAGTCCTTCGGGTAGAACCTTCTGTCTCTTGTGCCAGGTAACTGCTCCACCCTCTCACCCTTCTTGGCTCAGGGATGGTCTTAGCCTCAAGAGCTGTGGTTATCCTTACCCGATTTCTACAACTTGATAAAGTTTTAATTTTATTTTATCCATGGGGCTAGAATTTGGTTTTTATACAAAGCAGCATGTCTCTGAAATGAAGCATGATATTCTCTCCACCTTTACAAGGAATAGAACAGATTGTTTTTACTTAATAAAAGTGGCAGTTCTTTTGCATAAACTCAGTAAAAAAAATAAAACAGTAACTTGTTTGTAACTTTAGATTTAGTTAAATTAGTGCAAGGTGACTCTTCCCAATAAGTATTTATTTGATCATCATTTTTAACTGTAGGTCTCAGATGAGTCTATTTTAGTTCGCCTAACCCCAATAGATCCTTCTAGATCTTGGAGAACACATAAGCACCATTTTATTCTGATCAGGGTCTATCTCTTAAAGATAATTGCCCTTATCTCCTTTTTAGAGCCCTAGTGGCACAAAGCCTGTGCGCAGTCCATCGGGGGCCTTTATTGCAACCCATATTTTGGGGTGCTAGGAATTAAGACCAACCTTAGGGCAACTGAAACTTGTTAAGCCAATAATGACTAATATTCAGGATTCCATAAGACTGCCTGCAACATTTGAGTTTGGGAGTTCATCACTGTGCTTGAAGTTTCAAAGTATACAAGTGGCTATATTTTTACCCTGTTAGTAGACTAGATCCCCTTTACCAAGTTTCAGTTAAGATATCTCATTTGGGAAAGGTTTTCTATTTCTCCACCCAATGTCTCAATACTGAAAAAAAAAATCCTCATCTATGTATAATATATAATAATACTTGCTATGTCTAATCACATTTTTGCAAAATTTGAAAAAGTATTGCCAAGACAATATAACTCAGGAAAAGTCCTAGTACTAGATTATTAAATTGCTCAGAAGACAGGTATTGATTGGTTCTTTGGATTAAAAACACCAGAAAAAGAAATGAAATCATTTTATCTTCTCCTGTGCCTGCCCTCTTTGTAAGAAAAAAGCATTTCCCAATAGCTGTGGTTACCAAAAATTCAAAAAAAAGGAAAAGGGGGAGAAGCAGTCTTTTACAATAATTTTATTGTTATAAATATTTAATATTATAGAATAATATAACATTATTATATTTTACATTAATTAGTTTTAAACATTTCCAAGTGGGCAGAACAGAATTTTTTTTCTCTAATTAGCCCATATGTCTACCAGTTTTAAATGACTTTAAAATAAAAGCGAGTATAACTCCTTGAACCAGCTTCTGAAATTGTAACTCTCTGGTGAAGGTGCAAATTGACAGTTTAGTGGTAGAATCAAGCTAAGAGTGAAGATGAGGAAATAACATCCAAGGAGTCCTGTATGAAGTGGGCCATTAACTTGTCACCAACGCAATAGCCAAGACTTTCATGTCTTTTCCAGTTGGTTATTTTTTATAAGTAAAAGGCCCCAACTTTATTAGAGGAAGGAGCTCTTACTATAAACAAAGATCTACAAGTGATAAAAGAAAAAGATGTCTAAATTACAATTTTATGTAATGATGCTTACTAAATAATAAAAATATTTAAGCATATAACAACCACAAACAAAAATAGCTATTTCTAAAAGCCACTGTTGTTTGAGTTTGCATTTAACCTGGGTGAACCAACATCCATTCTGATTTGTCAGAGCTCATGCCAGACAAACTTAGAGCGTCCTTTCTTTCTTTTTCTCTACTATTAGAACAGATGAAATACTTAAAAGATATTAGCAAAATCAGATGAAACCCCATTATTTTCTTAAGTAAGCTTCTATCTTCTTATTACATTCCTGAACCTCAATTCAAATCATAAAAGTATGCAATTTAAGGGAAATTTTTTCTTTTTTCTTTTTGTTAAACCTTTAGGCATTGTGGCCTACAAAACTATTATCAGTGATGTTTCATACATGAAACATTCCAGTACCACACCACACCATTTATCACTTTCACCCACTACTGTCCCAGTGTCCGTGTCTCCTGCAACTTCCCATTCTCAAGTTTCCAACAGAAGACCAGTTTTCAGATTCAGTTGCCATTGGACATTTGTTATTCCCATACTATGTTTATTCCCAGACTAGGTTTCTTTATATTCCCTATATAAGAGAGATCACTCTCTCTATGACCCTCTAAAGGACAATCTTGGTACGTAACAATAGTACAAGAAATAGGCACTCCCCTTACACATGACTGACCTGCGTTTGCTCCCCAGTACCATACACGCTTACCCAAACACCCCCAGGAGTTATACCTGAACACAGAGTGAGGAATAAAATCTGAGTGAACTAGACATGGCCCAAAAACTAAAAAGAAAAAGAACAATTCGGTAGACTGCATGCTTAGGGGTTTGATCTCTGGCACTATATCTACCATAGCATCACCAGATGTGGGCCTGTGGCACCCTTAAACTCTGCCAGGTATAGCCTTAGAAGTTCTCAGCACTTTCAGTGTAATCCAGGTAATCCCTGGCACTGCAAAACCTGAGCAGCATCTCATCACAAGGCCATAGCATTGAACCTCTGATCCAGTTGGCCAGAATCACTCGTGGGGTCCTGGACCTCCTGAACACAACTTGGGAAACCCCTGAAAAATAACAGGTGTTTGGGGGTTTTGTATGCTGTTGTTCTTTTGGTTTTTAGTTCACACCCAGCAGTATTCAAGGCTTACTCTGGGCTCTGGACTCAGGAGTTATTCCTGGAAGTAATCAGGGGACCATATGGGATGCTAGAGATCAAAGCCAGATCGGACATATGCAAGGCAAATACCCTACCAGCAGTACTATTTCTCAGGACTGAAAAATGCAGTTCTTAAAGTTGACAGCATTTACAATGTACTTTCTCAAAAAGGACATATATCTAATCTTATAAAAATCATTTAAGGATGTTGTATAAAATTTGGAAAATATAAAATGAATAAATGTAAAATTAAATTATTCATTATCCTACAATGTGAAGGCAATTGTAATTTCAAATGGCAGACAGATACCTCTCTATGCATATTGTATATGCATAAGGAGAATAATTGACCATAGCTCATCAGGCAAGATCGTTCAGCACATCCAGGGTGGCAACTAGAAACCTGAGTTGGTCAAAGGAAGTATAAGAACATTAAGAGTATCACTTGGTTTAAGAGTTAGAGTTACACTTGCCCAAGAACTTAGTTTTGTGATCTTGAGCGGGGAAAATGAGTACAAAATGAATGCAATGCCTATAAATTCAAGAATGATGGAAAAATCTTAAGATTTTAATCTTGTTCTAATATAAATTCACATCTCATTTTTGTTCCTGTAATTTTTTTAATTTCCACAGATGTTGCCAGTGTCTCTCAAGCTCTACACACACACACACACCAGCTGACACTCTCTTCAATGATACTGAAATGTCTACAAGAGTAAAAATTTCACTTTTTACGTGTGTGTGTTGATTAATAAAATAGGAAAACATATTTTATGAACAAGTCATTTAACAGCATTATGCTATAATTTTTACAATAACTTTATTCTAGTCAGTAGTCTCACTTTTTCTTTGGCTTTAGGAAATAAAAATAGATTGAAACCTAGGATAACAGTAGGAGGAATTATAATAATCAGCTTAATAATAAACTCTCTTAATAAAGAAGAAAGGAAGAGGCCCATTTTCTACAAAAACATTATATACCTAATTGAAGCCTATATAGAGTCTCAGTTCCTCAGCCATTAGAATGAATGAATTGAATGAATAAATAAATCTACCAATTAGTGACTTTTTTCTCCACCAACGTATATCTTGTTGACAACAGGATATTGGCTTTGTTCTCAGTCATGCCCACCATAATTAGATCAAAATAAGTATTGAAAAGACTGAAATTTTATATGCCAAATGGCAGAAAATAAGTAGTATGTTTGCGGCAAAAAGAAGCATTGACCCTCTCTATTTGAATTAACTATGACTATGTAGGATAAAAGTTATGCTGCAGAATTTATTGTTCATTTAAAAAGAATTTTTTAAACCCCCACCCCTCCACCAAAAAAATAAGTTTGGATTCAATGTATAGGTAAACATTACCATCCTCTTTCCTTCTGAGTGGCAATGGGGGGTGCAGCAGAAGGAGGGAGCAGTGCAAAAGGGGGCAGTAATATAAGGGTGACAGTCAGAATCTGGATCATACTAACATTGACATTCATCCACCTTCCAGGTGGTCTGAGAGACTCTCAAGCTCTTTGCCCTTCCCAAGCCTCTATCCAAGATACAAGTCAAAGCTGCACAGAAAAACAGGGGCTTCTTCTCAACAGGCCTGCATAAAGATATCTGAGACAAGAACTCTGCTGGTCATTCTCTTGGATCTTTAGGCCAGATGACTACAGATTTTTTTTTTAATTTTTATTAATGAAACACCATGAGGTACAGTTGTAGACTTACAAATTTTTGTACTTGGGTTTCAGTTATACAATGATCAAGTACCCATTCCTCCACCACCACGGGTCCCAGCATCCCTCTCATCCCCCATACCCCCACCCCACCCTGCCTCTGTGGCAGGGCATTCCCTTTTGTTCTCTCTCTCTCCTTTCAGGTGCTGTGGTTTGCAAAAGAGGCAATGGGTGGCAATCATGTTTGGTCTAGAGTCTACTTTCAGCATGCTTCTCCCATCCTGGGAGAATCCTCCCAACACCTTTTATTTGGTGCTCCCTTCTCTATCTGAGCTGCCTTTTCCCCTAGAGTGTGCAGCTGGCCTCCAAGCCGTGGAGCAAAACTCCTGGTACTAATCTCGGCCACTCTTGGGTGTTAGTCTCCTATTTTGTTACTTTATATTCCCCAGATGAATGCAATCTTTCTATGTCTGACCCTCTCTTTCTGACTCATTTTGCTTAACATGATACTTTCCATGTAGTACCACTTGTATGTAAATTTCATGACTTCATCTTTTCTAACAGCTACATAGTACTCCAGTGTGTAAATGTACCAGAGTTTCTTTAGCCAGCAGATGACTTCAGATTTTGTCTGACTACTGCAATGAACATGGAATTTAAATGGCTTATCTTGCTCAATGCTCTTCTTTCAAAAGATGAAAATGTCGAAGGGGGGAATATTAAGATTAAATATAGTCACCATAAAAATTCTAAGACCACTTTAGTCATCCCTCTTTCCTTTCTAACATTGTCCATATCCCATCACCTTCCAAATCTAAGCCCCTTCTTCTACAGTCAATATTCCCTGAACGTTTCATTCCATTCACTGTCCCTTCACTTTAATATCTTTTTAATACCTGCATGTATGCTTGTTCATTCATTCAACAAACATTTTCTTTAAACCAACGGATGCTGCATGCATTGGACTAAGCTCTCTGGATTCAAAGATAAACACAACAGATTCTTCCTTCAAAGAATTTATAATGAAAAGAAAAACGTACTTGTTTAATTGCTATAACTGAAGATGACAAATATCTAGACTGGGACAAAATGATAGGCTGCCACAGTTTTGAAAGAATGTGATCTCTGCTTATATATATCCACTGAGGGTTCTGTGCATGAATAGATTCACAATTTTTGTTTTGGAAGATTCTATAAAGTATAAGAAGTATAGATTCAGAGATTATATGTGGTGACACAAGGTTAACAGAAAAAGACTCTAGATGAGTATAACAGGTATTAATTGAGTAATTTCAATGCTGTTTGATGCCACAAGATTTTGGAGAGGCAAAATTTTAATCTAGTTGGTCAGAGACTACTATATAATTTTTAAAGTGGGGGTATCTACCCAAGCAGTGCTTATGGGACCTGGTAATTCTCAGCTAACTTGGGCTTTCACTCAGAAAGGATCTGAGAATGCAGTGGTGCTCAGGTCCTGAGTACTAAGGATCCCTTGAACATCCATCAGTGCTCAAGGGGTCACCAGGTCAACACCCAGTAGTTCTGAGGGGCGTATGGTAATAGGAATCACCTAACTAAGATCTAGTACATGCAACACCTGTGCCCTAACCCTTTGTACTATCTCTAAAGACTCAAAAAAGATAGTGAAATAGGAACCTTGTCAGTAACTTATTTAAAATTGTATTTCATGAACAAATGGATGTGGTTATGTGTTCCTGCCGGAAGCGGACATAGACGGCAGTGAGATGGGTCTCTAGCTCAGGGTTTCAGCATAAGAGATGTTCATAAGTCACGGCAATAGTGAAGAGAATAGGCTGGTGATCAGATGGGAAGTAAGACAGACTGAAATTATTCATATTAGTATCAGTCTATGGAAACTTGAGAGGAGAAATTCTGAATTTTATTCTATAGGTAATTAGGGGGTCACTGAGGGTGTTGTTAGGGGGGTCTAGAAAATTAATTTTGTAGTTTGAAAGAAAACTAGGTGACTTCTCACTAGTTTATCCAGAGAATTTACTTAAATGTTTAATATGAAATTCAATCCTGTCTTAAGAAAATGCTAAATTTCTAGATTTCAGGATGCAGCTCAGTGGTAGAGCATTTGCCTTGTATGTGGGTATAAAGCCCTGAGTTCAATTCCCAGAACTTCAAAAATTAAACAAAAAGAATCACTATCACTATCACTATCACCTCGTTGTTCATCGATTTGCTCGAGTGGGCACCAGTAATGCCTCCATTCATCCCTGTCATGTGCTACTGTAGCATGATGGCATTTTGGGGGCTCTTTCAGGGTCAGGGGAATGAGGACCATCATTGTTACTGTTTTTGGTATATCGAGTACGTCACAGGTAGCTTGCCAGGCTCTGCTGTGCGGGCGGAATACTCTCCATAGCTTGCTGGGATCTCTGAGAGGGATGGGAGGCTTTGGGGGCAACCTCTAATCACCTTTACAGGTGTTCCCAGTCAGACACATATGCGGGCAGGATACTCTCGGTAGCCTTCTGGGTTCTCTGAGAGTGAGAACTAGACAATAAGAGGTCGCGCTTCTGGGAGCTTGGTTTTATCGCCTCTGGATCTTGGCCATTGATGGGGTTACATGGCAGTCGGTGGGTGAAACTGTCGAGCTACTGGAAGATGGGGGATCTGGGTGGAGGAGGCTCAGTCCTGAACCGAGCAAGCTTGGAGATCCCGCACACCTGGGTTCCTCTGCCAGCTCCTTCATGCGTGAGGCTGTCCTAGTGTGTGGAGAGTGGTCTCAGCATGGCTGTGACTGGGTCCCATAGGTCTTCAACTGAATAAGAAATAGTAAATTTCCAGAGAACTTTACCTTTTGTCATACTATAACTATTAGTCCTAACTACCATGGTCTATCCATAAAGACGCCATACAGACACTGTACTTTTTAAGATGAATTAATGAACATATTTTAGTTAAACATCAGAGTCCGTGTAAGTATGAATCCGCATCCTCTCTATGCCATATTACACATAGATGATATGCTGCTACCTACTACTCTTGGAAAATGGTAAGTCATCAAACACGAGAAACTATTTCAGCTACCATGCAAATACATCTTTCGCATTTTCCATTGGTTGTTAAATTCTGTCAGCTTCCACAACTCTATTTTCACAGTAAGAGACTATATACATTGTCCAGGTCAATCAGCTTTCCACAGATACATGTTTTATTCTTTTGATAAGGCTGTGCAAAACACAGAAGGCTGACAACCTATAAAACCTCAAGCTTGAAACTCAGTTCCAGACTGATTCTGCCCTGAGAGCCTATGTGTGAGTTCAGGAAGAACTCCATTGATCCAATACCAGAGATTAAAAACAACAGAGTATCTATATATATATATATGTGTATTCAGAATTATTGCTTCTATTTTTAGCAACATTTTAAGGGGATAAAAGCATGCTGCTACTTCTGAAAGGAGTATCAAAATCCCCTCTTAACTTTACAGTGTTTTCTAACTGGTTATTATAAATTTATGTCATTTGTTATTATTAAACAGGCATGGATTATTCTCTAAAATATATTAAATAATATTCCAATATTCATAGTTTATTTTATCTGTCCCAATTCCCATCCAAGTATATTTGTGAAGTTAGATAATGGTAACACAGCAATAGATGGTGAGCATGCATGCATGTGTATGTGTAAATGCTTTTAGAAGATGCTTGCGTTATTAAGGACTCTAAGTAGTTAAGTTTATCTTCTTTTAAGGTGTTTTTTAATTGATACACAGTTATAAGGCTCTTCATGATTGAGTTTCAGTTATATAATGTTCCAGTATCCATCCTCTAAGTAGTTAATTTATTGGAAACTTTATTCTTCAGAGTCCACTTCCAGTTAATATGAATTTTATCCTAAAAGCACTTGACTTTCATAATCTATTTCTTGAAACATCAATATACATTATATAACAGAATCACTTGCTCATGGCACTTTCTAATAGTAACCCTTTTTCTAACTCAGGAAAAAGAAATAGAATTCATTGACGTTCTTGAGGGCCAAACAGAGAAGGTGGAGTTGAGTATTTCTCTGGCAAAACAGAAGTTCAGGGCAAAATTTACTGACTGCCAGTCCCTTTGTTACCAAAAGTTACCAGAAAAATCAACTCATGGTGAGTAAATTCAATGAACACAACCAAGTTCCAAATCACAACTAACAAAATCTGGGAACCTAATGAACATAAACCATTTTTTAATTTTTTCTTTTTTTTTAAGTATTTTTTTATTACTGAATCACCATGGGGTACAGTTAACTTTTGTGTTTGCATTAGTAATACAATGGTCATTTACCCATCCCCCACCAGTGCCCATTCTCCTCCACCAATGTTCCCAGCATCCCTCCCACCACCCCCACCCCATCCCCCACCACCCCACCCTGCCTCAGCGGCAGGACATTCCCTTTTATTCTCTCTCCTTTGGGGTGTTGAGGTTTGCAATAGAGGTATTGAGCGGCCATCGTGTTCGGTCTATAGTCTATCTTCGACATGTATCTTTCAACCCGAATGGGTTCTCCCAACATCCTTTACTTGGTGTTCCCTTCTCTATGAGTTGCCTTTTCCCTCAGCATGAGACTGGTTTCCAAGCTGAAACATTTTGGAAACCATTTTGGCTTACAGTTCCAACCTTTTATTGCTAGTTGTTACCTTTACAATATTAAAGAGAAAAAAGGTATGATAATCCCAAAATACTGAAACCTGTGTATGTCCAAGAAAGTTTTCTATTCTGGTTTCCCATTCTTCTTATTGTTGCAGTGCTTAGGGATCACACCTGCCAGTGCTGAGGGGTCAAATCAGGACCTCACAAGTCCAGTATTTTCATTCTTAAAAGCCAATGGGTTGGAGAGATAGCACAGCGGGTAGGGAGTTTGCCTTGCACGTGGCCAACCTGGGTTCGATTCCCAGCATCCCATATGGTTCCCTGAGCACCGTCGGGAGTAACTCCTGAGTGCAGAGCCAGGAGTAACCCCTGTGCATCGCCAGGTATGACCCAAAAAGGAAAAAAAAAGCCAATAATGTTTGTTTTGTTGGGGTTTTTTTGTAATATTAGTTCTTAAATTTTCCTTCAAATGAATACCACTAAGCAGTTTTTATGTGGGTCTAAGTCCACATAAGCATCAACTTGGGAATACAATTGGTTGAAATATAAATCTTTAATCCATAATACTTTGTGTTATATATTGTTTCTACTTTCCAGTTAAATGCAATTTAAAGATTTGACATTTTTCATGACATTAAATGAAGGACAGTTGTGTTAACCTTGTTCTCTATCATTAAACTGAGGAACTGGCCACCTTGTCCCTTCTATAACCGACTATCATGATCTCTGCCTGTCCTTAAAGAGCTCTTTATTCCCTACAGGATAAATCGCAATGATTATGCTGAGTGTGTCATCTAAATCATATGCTAAGACCTCTGTTTTTATTTCCAGCTTCATCTCATTTACCATTCCCCGTCTTTGCCCTCTACTTTTCAGAAATGCAAACTGTATTCCAATCTTTTTTAAAATTGATTGAGATTTTTGTGGTTCACAATACTATTGATGATGGCTTCTCTCTCCCAACTTTTCTCACCTAGAACCTTTCCGTATTCACCTCTGTCTAAATGCCCTTCCTAAGACAAATCGTTATGGAAGGTTCCCTAGTGCCTCTTCTCTGGTAATACCTGGTGTCCATTGTTGTCACACACTGTTCATCCTGGGAGATTGTTTAGTTACAAGTCTATCATCTTTGTTCCATTCCTCCCTCCTGATGGTACCCTCACCACTACTAAGCCATAGCTTCTCTCTTGAAGACAGAAACTGTTTCTTTACTCTTCCCGACCTTCCATACTAACTAACAGTTTAAAATATAGTTAACTAGTCAGTGACTGTCAAAGCAAAAATTGAGACCATCACAAGATTACATAACCATGAATTATACTTATAGGCATCCTGGATGCCAAGCATCTTTCTCAGCACTGGTAGAAAACGAACAGGCCCTGCCCTTCTAATACTTAGGGAATGTAATGTTTCTTTTCTCTCAGTTGAAGAGATTAACACTAAAGCTTTCAAAACTCTGAAACTCTCCTCTCTCCTCAGATCAGCATTCAGTCAACAAAATGTAAAGAATCATTTCTATAAACTTCAAAAGGAAGGCATCAGCATGAGATGTTTATGAAGCAGAGAAGTACTTAGACACGGATTATTAAATAAAACGAATTTTAAAATAATTCCACTTTTTCTATTTGTTCTTTCAAATGGATTTTTCTAGAAAATCCTGAGTCTAATCAGAATCTTCCAAATTGGCCATAAGCTTAATTGGCCATAAGCTCTCTTTAGCAGACCTGTTGTAAGTTTTCTAATCACCTAAAACAACCTGATATAGAATGATGCAACAAATTACACTTGATTTCTATTTGATTTCTAGTCTTTTTATTGTTTAGAATTACTTGTGGAAATTTGGATATCATTTCCCTGACCTTAGATTTCCAATGTAGTATATAAGAAATACGACTGCAGGGCTGGAGCAATAGCACAGCGGGTAGGGCATTTGCCTTGCATGTGGCCAACCCGGGTTCAATTCCAGCATCCCATATGGTCCCCTGAGCACAGCCAGGGGTGATTCCTGAGCACATAGCCAGGAGTAACCCCTGTGCATTGCTGGGTGTGACCCAAAAAGAAAAAAAAAAGAAATACGACCTCAAAAATATCTCTCCAAGAAAACAAGAGGGAATGCCCTGCCACAGAGGCAGAGTGGGATGGGGGTGATGGGGGGTGGGAGGGATACTGGGATCCGTGGTGGTGGGAAATGGGCACTGGTGGAGGAATGGGTATTTGATCATTGTATAATTGAAACCCAAGCACAAAAATTTGTAAGTCTACAACTGTACCTCATTATGTCTCACTAATAAAAATAAAAATTAAAAAAAATCTCTCCAGATCTAAACGTGTATAGATATAATAGCTAGCACTTTTCTCGATGCCTTACATGTATTAACTCATTGAAGATTTTATATTATCCTGTAAATTAAGCTATTCTATTTCTCTTTTTTTTTAACAAATAGAAAGACTGAGTCACAAAAGGACTAATTAATATGCCAACAGGTCACACCTATTTACCAGCAAAGTCAAGACTCATACATAAGCAGCCTGACACCCGAGCCCCTGATTTTAATGATTATGCTATGCTTCCAACACTTCCCAAATAAATATTTATGGGAAGAGGATTTCTGCATCCTCATTAAATGGCCATGCCCATCCTAGCTTCTAAAAATCTACAGTTAAGAAGAGTAAGTCTTTCTATGTCTATCCCTCTCTTTATGGCTCATTTCGCTTAACATGATGCTTTCCATGTAGTACCACTTGTATGTAAATTTCATGACTTCATATTTTCTAACTGCTGCATAGTACTCCATTGTGTAGATGTACCAATGTTTCTTTAACCAGTCATCTGTTCTCGGGCACTCAGGTTTAGAAGCATGCTGAAAGTAGACTAAATAGACCAAACATGATTGCCACTCAATGCCTCTTTTGCAAACCACAGCACCCAAAAGGAGAGAGAGAACAAAAGGGAATGCCCTACCACAGAGGCAGGGTGGGATGGGGGTATGGGGGGGGGGGGGATGCTGGGACCCGTGGTGGTGGAGGATGGGTGCTGGTGGAGGGATGGGTATTTGATCATTGTATAATTGAAACCCAAGCACAAAAATTTGTAAGTCTACAACTGTACCTCATGGTGTCTCACTAATAAAAAAAGAAGAAGAAGAAGAGTAAGTCTTGCTCCATCCTGTTCCAGAGTTCGTCAAATAAGTCCCCCGAGTCCACCTGCACCGTCATATACGGCACTTGCACTGGTTGCTGTAGGGTGCAGTCCCTCTGTGTTATCATCTGTTCCCCTTCCATGCTCCCGAGCAGCCCTTACCCCCTCCCAGCTTGCCATCAGATAACCCCACCACAGCCCAGTTCTGGCATGAATTCAGCCATTCAGGCTTAATCAGGAACTGATGAGCAGTGCTTTGCAGTCATTTGATTTCTACAATAAACCTAATGAGTAATTTAATATAAATGTCAAAAGAAATGCTTAGCTGTTGTCTGAATGCTTTATCCTGTGCAAACACTCATGAGAATTCAACACGGCTGTCTTTTATAGCCCTGTTAACATATATTCCAGCACTATCGGGAAGGCCCCTGTATACTTAGTATTATTAATAACATTAACTGGGCACTTAATTAGCAATTTCGCGGTTAGTACTCCATGATTAGAAGGTCCCCAGAAGATTATTTAGCAGAATTAACTGGAGGCGTCTGTCATCTCTTCCCTTGATGCCTTTTGCACCCTCCCAAGCAAAGCTGATTTCCAATCAATCACAGACAGGTTCACAAAGAGGGCAGAGACACAAGCAATAAATGCCTTCCACTCAAACCACTGTGCCAGTGCACCCCTGGAGGGGAGACGGCCCTCCCCAGCGATACTTCGGGCTACCCTTGTGGAGCTACAGTCCTCCATGCTATATATAACAGCATCTCTGCTATTATCCCAGACAAAGGGGGGCAAGTCAGGCGTAGAATATTACACTTAAACAGTCTCAGGGACTGTTTCAGGTACAACAAATATCTTGTGACCCCATGCTTTATGCCAATGGAGGTCAGAGCAGACCTGAAGCCTGTACACACCCTTTCCTATCTGTCCCCACCACAAAGACCAGTTGTGCAGAGCCTAACTTCCTAGCTCTCCTCTGCAAAACTAGTGGTAGATTGAGGACGGAGGCACAGAAACTTATCATCCTCCCTGATTTTGATACTTAATGAGGACTTAAATCCTACCCTTTCCCCTACTGAACCTTTCAGAAACAACTGACTGAAGATTTCGTAGGCCCTGGCAAATCTCCATGTTTTGTGGTCCTTGAGGGAGTAATAGAAAAGTAAGGCAAGTAAGCTCCTGGTAATCCAGTGGAGAACTAGAGAATAAGCAAACAAATAAAAAAAACTCTGCTGCTCTACTCACTGGATATCAGGCACTTGTTTTACTGGTTATTCCTTACAGCAACCATAGGACATAGGTATTTGCTGCTGCGTTTTGGATAAGGAGAAGAAAAGTCAGAAACATTAAGCTATAAATTCAAGAGTCCTTGCCACTAGAAAGGAGCAAAACTAAATGTTTATTTTTTTTCACCCAAACTACAATAGCAAAACTAATGTTTAGACTCAGATCTGCAGAGTTATCTCCTCATTGCTTAAAAACTATATGGCACTCATGGCTATAGTTTATTATACATGGATAAAATAAAAAATATTTTTAATATTCACATAAGAAACTTTGGGTCTCGAACCATCATAGCACAGTGGGTAGGGTGCTTGCCTTGCACGCAGCCAACATGGCTGACCCGAGTTCGATTCCTCCGCCCCTCTCGGAGAGCCTGGCAAGCTACCGAGAGTATCTCGCCCGCAAGGCAGAGCCTGGCAAGCTCCCCATGACGTATTCGATATGACAAACACAGTAACAAGTCTCACGATGGAGACGTTACTGGGCCCGCTCGAGCAAATCGATGAACAACGGGAGGACCATGACTGGCTGACCGTGACATAAGAAACTATTATATAGACAGAAAATTCATCATATAGGTTTTTAAAAAAACTCCATAATACATGCTAAAGTCCAGTATAAATAACCTGGGGGCTTCTGTGCATCTCTCTGCAGTCCCTGACGTAGACAAGATAAACCCAGAATTAATCTGAGATACGGTGACAAGAGAGCAACATGCTGTTGTGTTCAGAGATTAAAGAAACACTCAATTCATGTAAACAAAATTTTATGAGTTTCTATTATGTGACAGCAATTTTCTAGCTCTCTGGAGGAAAATCAAGATAAATAAATATGGCATGGTCCCTGAATCCCAGGAACATTATCTTAGTAAGGGAAAACCATGCATCTCCCAGCCTGTACATGATACATCAAATATTAAACTCTAGGGAGAAGAACAAATGGGGGAGGAGGGTGGAGTGATAGAACAGCAGGTAGGGCATTTTCCTTGTTCGTGACCAAACTGGGTTCGGTTTCCAGCATCGCATATGGTCCCCCGAGCACCACCAGGAGGAATTCCTGAGTGCATGAGCCAGGAGTAACCCTTGTGCATTTCTGGATGTGACCCAAAAAGCAAAAAAAAAAAAAAAAAAAAAAAAAAACAAGAACAAATGGAGATTGATATGATATGAAGCTCCCCAAATGCTTTAGTAGGGAAGTGATTTGAGTAGTCTGTGAAAGACAAAGAAGGAACACTCAATGAACAAAAGTATAAGATATTGTATCTTGGGTTAAATATATATATACATATATATATGAAGAGAATTGGGGATTGGAGTCCAGCCTCACATGGTAGGGGAAAGGGGAGCTCAGATAGAGAAGGGAGCACCAAATAAAGGGTGTTGGGAGGATCCTCCCAGGACGGGAGAAGCATGCTGAAAGTAGACTCTAGACCAAACATGATTGCCACTCAATCTTTCTTTTGCAAACCACAACACCCAAAAGGAGAGAGAGAACAAAAGGGAATGCCCTGCCACAGAGGCAGGGTGGGATGGGGGTTGGGGAGTGGGAGGGATACTGGGATCCATGGTGGTGGGAAATGGGCACTGGTGGAGGGATGGGTATTTGATCATTGTATAATCGAAACGCAAGCACAAAAATTTGTAAGTCTACAACTGTACCTCATGGTGTCTCACTAATAAAAATTTAAAAATTAAAAATTAAAAAAAGAAAATACAAAATTGGCCAAGAAGCTAATAATAATTGAAAGTGCAGGGGGTAAAGGTCCTCACGGAGTAGAAGGATCAAATTGTTAAGGGTTATAAACGCCATTCTAAAGAAATGAACCTTATACTGTAAGCAGTGTCGCCCACCATTTGTTGATCTCTACTAGTTTTCTAGTAAAGATCAACAAATATAGAATGATTTACCTGGGACTGGAGCCATGGTTCAGCAGATAGAAAGCTTGCTTTGATTCAGCAGCCACAGGAATCCCATCTAGTTCCCAAGTGGCTTAAGTGCAGAGCCAGTAGTCACCCCGGAGCATAGCCAGGTGTGGCCCAAAAAGCAACCCCCTAACAAATATAGAATGATTTACTTAGAAAAAAATTTATAATCAAGTGTAGACATCTCCCTGACATAGCTCCCCACCAAATTTCTCTTTCCTCTCACCACACACTCCCAGAAAAACATTTCAGCAGTACAAGAGGGTAAGGGGTGGAGGATGTATCTGCCTTGGGAAAAAAAAACAATGAGGTGGAAAGTCAAGTCATGTGAGACTGGAACCAAGAGTGATTGAACTTAAGGAGCACAGAGGAAAGGTGGTTGAGGTTCCAGGGCTATCTTTGCTGAAAGGGGACATGTATCATGACCTTCACTGAGGCCAGGTGATAGAGAGTTCACCGAAAGAGAGCATGCATGAGGGAAAGCAAATTCAAGAGAACAGGAATGACTTAAATAAGGCAAAATGCTGGAATATTTATGTGGAAAATTCCTAGTGTCTTAGGTGGTTATTAAGCCATGAAAGAAAATGAGATCCTTCAATAGGAGGCAGGGAGGATTAGAACCAGAGAAGGAATAAAAGGACCCAGTCCCTGCCCACTTTTTCAACATCGCTTTCACCTCACTTTCCCTTTCTTCCTCTTGGTCTTACTTCCCCCAGGCTTTGTTGGAGTTGTTTGGGGCTGGTCCTGTGCATCCATGTGGTGATGTGCCCCCAGAATCTAGCACATTGCCTAAAGTTACTGAATAACTGTAAGAAAAGTGGCATTAAGAGACTGAGGTGAAAACATGCAGAATCTTTATATTTAAAGTGAAGAGTGAGCCCTTCCGCCTTCTCCCCCCTGGAAAGAAGGATGGCAGCCGCCTGGGAGCCATGTGGAAAGCCAGGTATGAGCCGGTGGTGAAGGGGCGACCAAAACCTCATGGGAGGTCACCAGTTGCCCCCCATGAGCTGCTCTCCAGCACGGCCATGGCTCCAGAGCACAGACACCAATCTCTTAATTATCTGACTCTCAGTAGAAATACTTCCAGGGTTAATAAGTAAAATAGCAGAAATCCAAAACCGCGCGGCCGACATCATTTAATTCTTGAACCCAGCTGTAGAAAGCAAATTATTTCACAATGCTTTTTCAGCATGTCTGATTTGGGGAGGCAAACTCTAAATAATAATGGTGCATCTTTTATCGAAACAATGAATCTAGTCAAAGCAGATAGAGTGTTAACTAGAATTCATCTGCCTCACGGGCATTGGGAAGGGTGAGGGGTGGGGCTTTATTGGGGTTCTTCGTGGTGAAAAATAAGTATTGGTAAAGGGAAATGTGTTTGATATTTGCATGACCGATACCTAAACCTGAAAGCTTTGTAACTTTTCCCATAGCGATTCAATGAATAAATAAATTAAAAATAAATAAATAAAGTGAAGAGTGATCGCAGAAATAGGGTAAAGAAGTTGAGACAGTGGACAGGTCAGTGGGAAAGAGGACCAGCATTAAACAACTACAGAGGGGAAATGGAAATGCCACTGGATTTGAAAGAGCTGAGAGACAGTGGCCTGGAGAAAACCCTCTTTGCTAGGAGAAAATGAGGCAAAGTCAGGCTGTTAGCGTGTTGGGGAGTAATTGACTATACAACTGTAAAATATCCTATCATTCTGCCTCATTAGCAAGGTTAGCTTAATTAAAAACTTTACTGTGGATTCCACATAAATCTTAGAGCTAACCTAAGCGTTTACAGACTGCTTTTACAATTTTAAGTGCAGAAGCCATTTTTACTTTAATAATTCCTTTGACATTATGGATATTTTCTAAAACATAGAATTCAATTCAGAAATTGCAGTCCCTGTATATATAAATACAGGCATTATAGGGGGAAAAAGGTTTCTTCCAAGTACCATCTTAAAGCTATTTCATACTCTAGGTAAAGTAATCATTAAAGCAGGTCAGAACCACTCAATTACAGCTTTTAAATAAAAAGCACAACTCTTTCCTCTGGGGTTCAGAAATAGCTGAGAACAAAGAATTGGACCTTGAGTGATGCCACAGTTTCCATTTTCTTTTCTCATTTCCTCAAAAAACGTTCAGGCATTTCACTTAGGCAAGACCTGACCCAATAGAACCAAAAAGTATTTCATAAATCCTTTCTTTCTGCAGATGCAAAAAGTATTCAAAACACTTTCGGGATTCAAAGAAATCTGTGTGTTAGGATTTAGGTAAGTAAGCGAATTTGACTCTTCTCAGGTTTTAAATGACTTTCTTTCTATCCTGTTTTAAAAGCAATATCATGAGGATTATAAGGTTCCTTTCCCCTGATTGTTTAGCTCAGCTAAATACTGAAAACTGAATACATTTCAGATAAAGAACTCGTCTAATTAGAACATGACTCTAGGTGATATTTAAGGGGCAACACAGGAACTGGATTCCTTCTTCCCTATGGAGTCAGAAACGATGCTTTCTGCGGAGAGCTCATCTGTTTGTCCTTGGCAATGTTTAAAACGAACCTCTTAGGAAAATGTCTCAGTAGAGACAGATCAAAAAATAGTTGCAATTAGTTGCTTTAGTTTCTGATTGCCGAGCGTCTTATTAAATGCTAAGTGTCATCATCATTTCAACATATTAGGTGGGCCCAAGGAAGATAGGTGAAACTGGTAAAAGGGCTCTTTATGCAGGAGAATTCAAAGGAAAGGGGGAGTTAGGGTCAAGGATCAAAGTAAGACTTACAAAATACAAATGCTGCATCATTTTGATGTCTGGATAGTGTATTACCAGGAAAAAAATAATTTTCAAATAAAAGAGTAAAAAAATGCTATGCTAAAAGAGTGTTTGATTATGTCCTCAACACTTACCCACTAACAGGACTATATGCATCAGAATCTCACCATCCTCATGTGAGTTTGGGACTAGGGGCAAGAATGCTTTCATCTCATTATCGTTATCATTATTTAAAATATATATAACTAAGATCATAATGTTTTCTTAATGACTCACTGGACAATTGTCTGCTGAGATTATATGCCCCAAGGAGGATTTGCAAAATGGGAAAGCAGGTCCTTTCTGATTTCTTTACCCTAATGTTCTAGAACAAGATGCTACAAGCACGGACTCCACCCACTCTCAAAAATAATTTCAAGGCAGAGGGACACTAAATTTATTTTTTCAGAAGAATCAGGATCCTCCGGTATAACTTTAGAGAAATTCAACACTGAAAAGTGAAAGTTATAAAAGGTAAAACCCTTAATATTTGCCAAAGCAGATTTATTTGTCTTAATTACAAGATAATGCTGCATATATCCCGTGTGCAATTAGATGGATGAGAGAGAAATAAAAGCTGATGGAATTTCCTGCATAGATGTCAAGATCGTCTGACTAGTCACTAATGTTAAAGAACAATTTTTAAATTTGAAGCTGAAGAAAATGAAAGCGCTTCCTTGATGAATGTGCAAATGGGCATTCTTCCCTCCCTTAAAACTGAAAAACTAATTTTTGAAAGCATATTTCAGAATAAAATCAAGGAGGTAGGTGATGAAGTTTTGCAAGATGAAAATCTTAAAGATATATACCTTGAAGCTGTATCTTTTCTATGTATTATCTCTGTAAGATTTATTACTATTTCTGCCAGAAATTACAGACTTGATCAATTTTTGAAATAATTCAGTATGTAATTAAGACAGTCTCCCAGGAAAAAAAATGCTTGCCCCTGAATATAATGTGCTTGAGTGTGAAAACTTGTCATCATTAGTTAACAATCCTCAAAATATTGCAAAATTATTGGAAAGGAAATTGCTTTCTTGTGGGGTTGGATCCTAAAAGCCAGTGTATCTTCTGACACTGTCCTTCTTTTGTTCATTTATATAAAAGCCAAACTACACATTGATGACAAGAACTTTCTATCAGTGACACACTCAACTCTCAATACAATAGGGAATTAGTTATTTCATCTTTTTATTTATTTTGTTTTACTGTGCCAGACACCCAGCCCAGCATCTCATACCCAGAATGCATGTGCTCAACCTCTGAGACTTTTCCCCAAGACCAGGACTACTACTATTAACCCAATTAGAATGATGGACATGAAAATTTTACTTAAAGTCTGGCTTTGTCTCTTAACACCAATCTGAGAAATTGTTAACAATGATTCACTCTAGTTGGAGAGCATATTCTTGCTTAAGAGTCACCCACAAATCTTCATAGGAACTTAATTGATAATGACCAATAACTGGAAGCAGCATGATATATATCAATAGGCAAAGAAATGAACTATTAGAATATATAGATTTAATTTATCTCAAAACAACGATGTTGAATGAAAAACACAATGACCGTGAAAGAAATATATCATCATCTTATTTATGTTTAACTCAAAAAATTTATTTATAGTGACAGAGAACAGATGAGATTACCTGCCTGTCCCACCCCCACTTTTTAAAAATATTCCAATTTCGCCCTCTCCTCTCTGGAAAGAAAGATGGCGGCCGCAAGTGGAGCCTTGTGGACAGCAGGTATGAGCCGGGGGTGTGGGGGCGACTAAAACCTCATGGGAAGGGGGGCGTTCCAGTCCATCCTTCACGCCCTAACGAGGTCACCAGTTGCCCCCCACGAGCGGCTCTCCAGCATGGCCACATCCCCAGAAGCAAAAGGACTTAATGCAGAACCCAGCAGCTTAGAGCAGAAAAGTGAACGGACTATGCGTTAATCCAGGCCATCATGTCTGCCCGGAGGGGAAAGGGTGTTGGTCCCTTCAACCCTCCTCCCTCTGGAAAGAAAGATGGCGGCCACATGGGAGCCTTATGGACAGCAGGTATGAGCCGGGGGTGTGGGGGCGACTAAAACCTCATGGGAAGGGGGGCATTTCGGTCCGCCCTTCACGCCCTACCGAGGCCACCAGTTGTCCCCCACGAGAGGCTCTCCAGCACGGCCACAACTCCAGAGCACAGAAACCAATTTCTTAACTATCTGACTTTCAGTAGAAATACTTCCAGGGTCAATAAGTAAAATAGCAGAAATCCAAAACCAACATTTAATTCTTGAACCCAGCTGTAGAAAGCAAATCACTTCACAATGCTTTTTCAGCATGTCTGATTTGGGGGGGGGGGGGGTAAACTCTAAATAATAGTGGTGAATCTTTTAATGAAACAATGAATCTAATCAAAGCAGATAGAGTGTTAACTAGAATTCATCTGCCTCACAGGGACTGGGAGGGGTGGGGGGTGGGGTTTTATTGGGGTTCTTCATGGTAAAAAATAAGTATTGGTAAAGGGAAATGTGTTTGATATTTGCATGACCGAGACCTAAACCTGAAAGCTTTGTAACCTTTCCCACAGTGATTCAATAAAAAAAAAAAATTAAAAATTTAAAAAAAGAGAGCATTCAGCTGAAGAGAAGAACAACATGGAGGGCGGGATCCACAGATCCCGAAGAAAGAGAAAAAAAAAAAAACAGGTTCCAAAAAGAGCCGAGATCATCGGGAAGCCCCAGATGGGGTAGGTACCGCATCCCGCCTCCCCCAGATGGAACCCCGGTGACCAGAAGCCTCTACAACCACAGCTCGAGTATGCGGGAACTAGGACTTTTCCTCAAAACCTCGCGGCCGCTCACGCGGCCGCACGACATCTCTCTATATACAAAGTGATCCATGGGAAGTAAATGAACCAACGTTTCTCTCTGAAAATCATAGTTAAGTTTGGAGCACGGCCACAGCCCCAGAAACACAAGGACTCAATGCAGAACCCAGCAGCTTGGAGCAGAAAAGTGAACGGGCTATGCGTTAATCCAGGCCATCATGACTGTCCGGAGGGGAAAGGGTGTTGCCCCATTCGCCCTCTGCTCTCTGGAAAGAAAGATGGAGGCCACATGGGAGCCTTGTGGACAGCAGGTATGAGCCAAGGGTGTGGGGGCGACTAAAACCTCATGGGAAGGGGGGCGTTCTGGTCCATCCTTCACGCCCTAACGAGGTCACCAGTTGCCCCCCGCGAGCGGCTCTCCAGCACGGCCACGGCCCCAGAAGCACAAGGACTTAATGCAGAACCCGACAGCTTGGAGCAGAAAAGTGAACGGACTATGCGTTAATCCAGGCCATCATGTCTGCCCGGAGGGGAAAGGGTGTTGGTCCCTTCCACCCTCCTCCCTCTGGAAAGAAAGATGGCGGCCGCATGGGAGCCTTGTGGACAGCAGGTATGAGCCGGGGGAGTGAGGGCGACTAAAACCTCATGGGAAGGGGGGCGTTCCGGTCCGTCCTTCACGCCCTACCGAGGTCACCAGTTGCCCCCCGCGAGCAGCTCTCCAGCATGGCCACGGCCCCAGAAGCACAAGGACTTAATGCAGAACCCGGCAGCTTGGAGCAGAAAAGTGAATGGACTATGCGTTGATCCAGGCCATCAGGTCTGTCTGGAGGGGAAAGGGTGTTGCCCCAGTCGCCTTCTCCTCTCTGGAAAGAAAGATGGCGGCCGCATGGGAGCCTTGTGGACAGCAGGTATGAGCCGGGGGACTGAGGGCGACTAAAACCTCATGAGAAGGGGGGCGTGTCAGTCCGCCCTTCACGCCCTACCGAGGCCACCAGTTGCCCCCCAATAGCGGCTCTCCAGCACGGCCACGACTCCAGAGCACAGAAACCAATTTCTTAACTATCTGACTTTCAGTAGAAATACTTCCAGGGTCAATAAGTAAAATAGCAGAAATCCAAAACCAACATATAATTCTTGAACCCAGCTGTAGAAAGCAAATCACTTCACAATGCTTTGTCAGCATGTCTGATTCGGGGGGGGGGGGGGGGGGTGGGTAAACTCTAAATAATAGTGATGAATCTTTTATTGAAACAATGAATCTAATCAAAGCAGATAGAGTGTTAACTAGAATTCATCTGCCCCACAGGGACTGGGAGGGGTGGGGGGTGGGGTTTGGGGTTTTTCATGGTAAAAAATAAGTTTTGGTAAAGGGAAATGTGCTTGATATTTGCATGACTGAGACCTAAACCTGAAAGCTTTGTAACCTTTCCCATGGTGATTCAATAAATAAATAAATAAATTTAAAAAAATAAAATTAAAAAAAATTTAAAAAAATAAAAAATTCAAAAAAAAAAATTTAAAAAAAGAGTCACCCACAAATGTTCATAAGAACTTAATTGATAATGACCAATAACTGGAAGCAGCATGATATATATCAATAGGCAAAGAAATGAACTATTAGAATATATAGATTTAATTTATCTCAAAACAAT